AAGGCTGAGTCAACCTTGAGCCGGTGAGATTTGAACAGCCGAACTGCAGAACTGCAGTCGGCTGAAGTAGCCTGCAGTGCTGCATTTAACCACTGTGCCACCTCGGCTCTAGCAAAAATAATAAGACCTCCCCAAAAATAAGGTTTATTTCAGAGGGTCAAAAGAAAATAAGACCCTGTCTTACTTTTGTGGAAACACAGTATTTATCTATCATATTTAGAGATTACCTATTTTCCTGAAAGAGCAGCTCTGGGCAGCATACAATTAGCATTAAAAACATAGTTCATTCATTCATTCATATCCCTTATTTATTTTGATAAGATGCTGCAGATCTCTGGTCCTCCTCGTACTTTCATGACTTCAGTTCCAGTGGCAAAACTGAAATGGCCATAGCTTTGAGTGCCCGCTGCTTCTTTTACCCCACCGTCTCACTTTGCTGGAAGGAAAACTCTGTTCCAGAGGCAACCTGCCAAGATATCCCCAATTCCACAGTCAACCAGATGAAGGTACGTGGAGGTCACCCTGAATAGGATTGAGAAGAACAAGGTTTTTGTGACTTGAGGAAATGCAGCCCGGTAGCAAAACGAAGGCCAAGGGATTCTAGGAACCTACTCCCTTAGTGGAGGCCTTAGGCGTCCACACTCCATCTCCTGAACAGATGGAAGGGAAAGGCGGAAGGCCGAATGGTGTTTGTTAAGGGAATGTCCTTATCAGGCAGTTTACAAGAGAGCCTCTCCCAGCCTGCCATGCTAGCTGAGGAAATGAGAGAGAAGCAAGTGGGGGAAAGATCATTCTGGGATGTTTGGACATTGTACCTCTGGAATTCATTGCCTTGTTTTATTTATTTATTCAGGCTTCTTCTATGCCATTCGAGTTTGAAGACATTGAGAGCCTTACAATTCCTGTTGCAGTAAGTAAGGTTTTAAAAAAAACCCAAAGCTAATCACAATCATGTTCCCATCTAATCAGTTCATAGCGCCTGGAGAACTTGCGGCAAAATCAGCCTTTTGGCCAATCTCCAATAGAGGGTTTAAAATAAAGACCTGTTCCAATTGTTGGAAGAAATGTCCATCTGGGTTCAGTTCCAAGTGGGGGAAAATACACTGGAAAGATGGAGGCTGCTGGGAAAGATGGTTTAATGGTGGACAGGATCACGTGCCTTGGAGCTCCTGGGTGAAAAAGGGAAGAGATGCTGAGAGTCCCTGGGTTTTATGCCCTCT